ATATTGAAAAATATAAAACCAAAAATAAAATTATACTTTAGAAGTTAATCTAGTATCAAAAACGTTCGATTCAGCACAACACACAGTCTTCAGAAAAACACCACACAAAAGTGCCAGTGCTGCCAGCTAAAACACACACAACAAANGATGTCAAATGGTGCACATTCGGTAAGTAATCCTACAATTTTTTGTTTATAGCATAGTTTATACGGATTATTCCCAAAAAATTATATGTGTTTTGGAAATGTTGAGTCGAATTAGTCTAGAATCGGTTAATTTTATAGAAGAAAACCTTTCAAACAGCCTTAGTCCGAAAACTTCACACGTGTCGGGCTGTGATTGGCTCATGTATTTAAGGATTCCTACAACGTAAAATTCTTATAAAGTGGAACATATCTAAGCGTTATAGGTGGTCTACTGTATATTCAAATATCTCTATGATCTCTGGTATGTAAATACTTTAATATGTCTACTATATTTGCCAGTTATTAAAAGTTCAATATTATTTTTGTGAGTTTCATTATTTAAGAATCAAAATAATTTTTCTGCAGCAATTACAAAATAATCCATACTTTTGTTCAGGAGTTGTATGTATGCTAATAGCATAAATCAAGTACAGTGGGTGATTGGTTAACAAACACTTCGAACTATGAACAAATCAGATAATGATTTGATTACGAACAAAACAAATAACGCAAAATATTTTTATGTTCAGACAACAAACACATGTTCGGATACCGAACACTTCACAGAACAAACACAAGAAGAATCAGCATAAAATAATGAATACCAATTGTCTTCCCTTGTCTTCAGGCAACAATTCAGAACTTTTCAGAGCGCGAGAGACAACGACATCAACGCTCAACCGATATATACTGATTGGATAGCATTCCTCTAAACTTTGAAACTCTCCCTTGTAATTCCAGCCTTTTATTTTTCTGACAGAAATAATTCTTTTATAGTACTCGCGAGACTGTCAGGTGGGCACCTGTTAAGTTTTGTGTGTTTTTATTTTCAAAAGGTGAGTATAATAGCAAAAGTAGAGAGTGGGAAGATGATGTCTGATGTTGCTGGGCAATATGGCTCGAACAGGTCTACAGTAGGCTGCAGTTCAATCTTTTCTAAAAAGGACATTGTATAATCAAGAAGACTCAAGCAGCTAAAGTACTAACAAAAATCACATCTGAGAAACAAAGAACATTGAAGAGCTCATAATGGAACTTGAAACGGATCTGACGACAGAACACCAAGAAATTTGGAGAGAAATGTTTTCTTCTGAAAAAGAGGATTAATGCTGATATCTGCTATTAAAGATTTGAAGAAGTGGGAGGATGTCAGAACAACGATCTTAGAATGGCATCCAAACCAGGTTGAGGTTAATAAGCTTGGGGATCTCTACAATTACAATGCTATTAATTACTTCTGAAAAATCCTGAAGGAGAGAGAAAAGCAATCAACATTAGACAGATTCTCTAACTCCCACAAATGGAAAAAACATGACTAATAAAAATGCAAGACTGTGTATATATGTATTTTTACTGTTACATATAAATAAATGTAGTAAGAAAGTATATATATTTTTTATTTTTTGGGATCTCCAGAACAAATTAATCAAATTCCCATAAAAATCTATGGTAAATCAATAACCAGTTAACAAACAATTCGGATAGCGAACAAAGTCTTGGAATGGATTATGTTCGTTAACCGATCACCCAGTGTAATTCATTTTTGTTAGTTTCAAACAAAAATGAATTAATTTAATCAAAAAAATTTTTCTTTATATTCTCAAATTGATGTCCTTTTAAGGAATAAAATATAATCTGCAAGACCCAAATCAATAGAATTTCATTCATTCTATTCATTCACTCTGCTAAAAAAACTTCTTAATAATCACTTCAAAATGAAAGTATGCATTATTCAAGCAAGATAAATCTATGATTTTTTCCTGAAATGGAAGCTTTGCCTAGTAAATTCTTTTAACCAATACAAAAGTTCTACATAGCATTCCTTACATATTGTTTGATATAGCATAACTAATTCCTTATAAATGATTTTTGTTATTAAAAAAAAGTGTCTTATATTGTTCTGTCACTAAAAACAAGACAATAATTTCTTTAATTTAAAATCTATGTGAAAATAATAAATAATTGGGCAAACTTAGTAAGGAAATAATCAAATTGATAAGATTCAGCATTTCTATGCCAGCTGGTCTATTTTACTTGCATTTTGGTGAAGCCCAGTCAGTGAGTAAGGAACTTAATTTCCAAACAATACAACCAGCAACTTCTAAATAATACCACTTAAAGTAGAATTAATTAAAAAAAATGACTTCAGATAAAAATCTTTCATTATTATTTAAAAGAAAACATCTATTTGAAAAAGTTTTTTTTTAAATTTTTTCAATGCATCTGACTTGGTTCCTAAATGGCATTTTTTTCCTCTGGATAGCCTACTTTACAGGGTCCCCTGCAATTCGGCTTCTCTGTATTATTTGTCATTTTGCTGAAAAGCTGCCATTCGTAGGTTAGTGATAAAAAATAATTTTATATTGCTAAGTAACATTTGAGAACCCCCATATCGGTTTATATGCATATATATTTGTATAATAATTTTATTACACGACTTCCGTGTATTGCTTGATATTTGAAACTGATTGTCACAACTACTGTGCACATATTTTATTTACATTTATATAAAAGTATCTTGTATCACTATTTTCTTTTATTTATTATTTAGATACAGTTTATTATTCATATAACACAAACTTGCAAGGAGATTCCACACACTGCAGTACACTATATATAGTTACTTGACCTTGAAACACGGTTGGTCAATGTTTGCAGGTAATTCCTAACAATACTTGTGAGGAAGTGAGTTTCTAGACATGTGTATTAGAACCCCCTAAATACTAAAATATATCATGTTATTTTGTAATCGTTTTTATATTTGTTTGTTATGTTATTACCTATATTATATGCTAAGCTTGAACCTCACTAACCTAACATCTTGACAATAGAAACTTTACAGAAAAAACTCCCACAAATAATAATAATTAAAGTAATTTATAATACACTATTTTATAAAATACATTTCTACGAAATTTTAGTATAAAACTTTATTCCTTTCTTACATATTATTTATAAACTTATTATCTTTCACGTAAAAAAAAATTGCAACAGATCACATGACATGCACTGCATTTCGGTGTACAGAGCTAAATGTCCTTGAGAACAGCGGTAGGTAGCCATTTGCGGGTTATCATTTCTCTGACATGTTTATCACTTCAGTTTTACTATATGTTGTAAAGATTTTAATACATAACAAACATAAGCAAGAAAATATAGTAATTATTTTAAGATAAATTTCTTTTAAAAAAGTATGAGAGGGCTTCAAAAAGTTCATGGAAAAAGGATAGTATGAAAAAACAATTTCAGTTATTATGTTTATTTTTCAACATATGCTCCATTAAGGTCGATATGCTTCTACAAACATTGATACCAGCCTTTAAGTTCGTCTGAGTAGAACTGAGGGTCTTATGATCTGAACCATGTCAGAGCAGCTCTTTTTACATCTTCAACTGATGGAAAATTGGTACCTTTCAGCGACTTATCCATTGTTGACTTCTTTGGAGCATTATCACCATAAACTTGTTTCAGAGCATCAATGTTTTGCCTATTCTCCCAACCAAGTTTCACCGTGAACTTTGTTTGTTCTCATCTCGATTTTGGTGGATTCCATGTTGATTGAATGGTGCTTGACTTTCAACTGATTCTTACCTACATTTAAGGGTTCATGTTTGAACATGTTATAACACATTGGTACAAGAATGTTCAGGTGCATTGAAATCAAAATCCTTCCAAACAATTTTTAGTTACGGACTTTTTCCACAAACTTTTTGAAGCACCCACGTATTAGAATTTGGGGAAAAGGAATCAGTTTGTTAGGCAAAACAGATCTTATGGCATTTTCATCAGTGCCTATGCATGAACAAACTTTGTTGTATCTCTGCATTCTATTGTCACTTCATTTAAAACGTTGACAATACTCTAATGTTAAGCTTAATTATAATTCTGATACTATTTACAATTCAAATATATCCAAAAAGACTATTAGTATGCAGCATTGAAATAATGTATTATGTAGAAGAATGTAGAAATAGTGCTGCAGAATGTAAGTAAAATTCAACTACTCAAACTGGGGTATACACGTAAATAAACACTGCACATATAATCAATATTCAGCAAGAAAAACTATAAGAAAGCCTATTCAACATGGATGAAAACATTTGCTTTCTTGTAGTTTCTCTTGCTGGATATTGGATATATGTGCAGTGTTTATGTAGGTAACATTTGTGTTTATTTTGTTTGAAATGTTAAAATAAATGAAAAGTATAAGTAATTTTTTAAAATAAATTAATATTAATGCTCTTATAGGATGAAAGTATACAATTTTCCTATAATTTTAAATCAACAGTGTTTCTTACAATTAAATAAATACAGAGAATGATATTACCAAAGAAATTAAATAAAATATAATTATTTATAGTAAAATTATATTTTTCTTAAATATTTTGAAAAACTTTTGATTTTGAATAAAGTAACTTTTATTTAATTAAATCTGACCAATCTAGTGATGGTAAGGCATTGTTTTTAATTTACTAGATAATTGATTTATACCTTATTGGGCATGGAAGTTTGGGTTTGCTGAATTCTAATAGCAAATATTTTCAGAAAGAGATTTGTAATCTCAATGATGTGTTATATTGCTCTTAACTGAAGCAAAGTCAGTTTTTCTTTTTAATTTTGCTTTATAACACACTTATTTGTACTATAGTTCATTAATACAAAGATAAAAACATTGAGTTAATATTCTCTGTTGATGTAAAACTCATTTTCTCTTTTAAATAAATTTTACGTAATTCTGTTAAATTTTTATAAAATCATCAAAATAAATTTATTATTATTACTATTAATAATAATCAAACAAAAGTAAAAACTTACCAGCTGCAACACTACTTCCAATACCAATATCATTTTCTTCATCAAATTCAATACGTACACCTGAAGCAGATGTTGTCACTCCACAACCACCAGAACGGCACAAAGATATTGGAACCACTCCATATACATATGCTAAAAGAATAGGCACACCAATTCCTAAAAAAAAATTAAAATTATACTGAATTTTAATTTGTTTAAAATATATAATAGAAATTAAAATATTTAGAGTTAATATTAAATAGTGAATTTGCATGACAATCTTTTCTATCACACTTACAAGTTTTTAATGTAATTTTAAATATCATGGATGCATTTGCACAGGAACTTGTTCTACTTATAATGCTACATTTTGAAAATAAGACTATTGACTATTGATAGCTTCAAGGAAGTAACTAATTTAACTAAACAAAATTGTTGACTGAGAAATATTAAAATGATCAAATTTTATTATTATACAAAACCTAAACAATCTTTGATTCGAAAGAACTGAAAAATAATTTTGTATATAAATCTATGCAGAGAGCTGCTAAGGAACAGAATACTTATATCAAACCATTAATTTAATAATCAAGAATCTTCCAAATGCAAATTTCTGATATATGTTCAGATTATAATTTGTGGATTCTTTTAAGTCTTTCAGTGTCAGAAAAATAATGCCTTCTTGCTCACCACATTTGAAAAAGTGATGCCATCTTTTGCTACATCTTAGTGCCAATAATAAGTAAAAGACTATTCTAATTGGCTACCATTACAACCTTATTTTATAAGGTAAGCTCATAATGGGAGACTTCGTTTATGAACATTCATAAGTATAAAGTTATAACAAAGCATTTTTCACAGAAAATACTGATGCACAAACTCACTAATAACTGAAACAATTATAAATTTTATAAAATAAAATTGTAAGTTTGATATTTTGCACCAAAGTACTAAAAACTAGTATTTCTCAATTTTGCCCATTACAGATTGATATAACTGAAAAAATGGAAAATGAAAAATTTGAATTGCCTGTCCAAAAAAATAGTAGTTTACAATTCAGAGTTCCCACACTTTTCCAAAATGAAATTCTAGGTTGTTTCAAGAGTCAATCAAAATTTCCAGAATATGCAAACAAACACAGCCACACCCTGGTATCCATATTCTCTGTATTTAAATTTCCATAACAAACTATGTTCTTTATTACTTGATGCAATATCCAAACCAAATAAGCTGAAGATTCTGAATTACTAAATGTGCTCAGAAGAACACATGTAAAAAAATTTCAAAACTTGTAGTAAGTTGCTAAAAATAAAAAGCAACTCTCCTCAATGTCTGTTTTCATTTGTTTCAGTGGAAGTGTGTGTATGTTCTACTGTAGTTGCATAATTTAATGATTTTACCATAAAATTTCAGCACAACATTACAAGTTTATTCTTAACAGCTCGTTACAGTAGGCTCATTTGTTTTTTTTTTTCATTACAGTAGAAACTCAATAATTTATCATGTTCTATAATTCATCAACTTGAAAAGGTGTTATTTTCAGATGATGACTCATATTTCACAGTATGTAATAGCCAGTTCTTGTCAACTGCTGTATTAAGCATTAATTTAATAGAAAAGTACTGCCTGTTGATTATTACACCCAAAAAAATGCATAAATAGATCAAGACATTTTTACAGTCTGGTTTTGTAATGTATTTGTAGTTCAGGTAAGATCATATCTTAGATATAATTTATCACAAAAAATACTTTAAATTATGATAATGACCCAGCACATCTGTTATGGACAGTCACTTATAATGTAACAATTATCAAAATGACTCTCTCAAACAAACAAGTTCTTGGTGATTTCAAAATCTCTTGGAGGAAAAATGGAGTGCTAGAGAATTTAATTGTCACATTCCTAGTTATAAAATTTGGAGGAGAGGGGCATAACACTGACTGAAGTTTTAGTGGTCACCCAGCACTGGGTCTAAAGTGAAAAGTCAAATGCTTCCTCAAGGGTGCAGCCAGGACTATATGGACACAACTGCATTTTCTCTGAAAGGGAAGATAAACATATTTTCTGTAATTTACGGGACATCATTCAAGAAGGAGCGTAATCCTACCACACTTCACTACGAACCTTCACTACACACGATTACTGACAGCACCATCATTATCTAGGCTATATATCTCTATTGTAAGCATAGCTTTATTGTTTTATTAAATGAAAATATTACTGTCAATCCGTGTCAGCACAAATCTGTTTTCAGTACCACTACATCCATGTAATCCTTTACAGAACAAACCAGTTAAAGCAGTAACCAATGTGGCCTAACTTTCTGACAGTGCTGCCCTGGTGGAAAGTTTGTAGTTTGTCTCTAGACACTTTTTTAACACACTTCTTATGAGATTTCTCCATCCTTATAATCTAGTAATTGTGACTGAGTTATTACTTACAAAACATTCTTTAATTAATGACCTCAGTAAATGTCTGTTAATAAGATAACTGGAATTTATAATGTTTAAGGTCATGCTAAAAAACATGAATAGTTAAGGAGGGTTTTTTTAATGTTTTAGTGTCAATTGGGAAAACTGAAGTTATTTAAATGGACCAGGAATAAATTAATATTTTTCACATAAGAAATAATGAAAAACCTTTCCAAATATCCAATTCCTGCTTTTTGAATAATTTTCAGGGACACATTGGATTCTGATAACAGAATACATGGCTGTACAATAATTTTTTTTACTTCCAGTGTTGGATGTCAATTTGACTTATGTCAAAAATACTACTTTGCTCGCTTTGTGCAATTTTGGAGAGGCACTGCCATTTTAATGGTCCATTATCTTACGTTCTTGCACATCAATAGTGTTGCCAATCAGAGTTACTGTTCCTCTGACTTGGAAGTTTTGTGTCAAAATTACTATGCTATTGCTCATCCTCCCAATTTTTAATAGCACTTTTCCAGTTTTCTGTTGCATGTGCCTTGTACATATATAATGTTTTTCCATCATTTAATTTGTTTTATTAAGAACTAGCATTGTGATCTAATCATATACAATTGCCTGAAGCAGTTTAAGTATTTTCTTCATAACATTTTGAATGGGCATTCCACACATCTGGTCCTAATAATTACATAGCTACTTAACCTGATGAACTGACAGCAAAATAATGAACAAGAATAAAAATAAATTTTAAAATCTTATTCTCACTTAAAAGTTGAGAGGAAACAAAAAATAGAAAAAATTTCCCATTTCTGAAGCAAAGAGAGTCTAGAAAACAGAGTTTAAAAATGTTTTACTTTTCTGTTGATTATCAGTTTTTTCATTTTTGTACATAACACAAAAAAAAAATCAATCATAATTTTGATAGATTAATGTGACAAACACAATGAAAACCTCAACTGCTTACAACAAAACAATCAATGCTAAATTAGAAAATAAAACGTTTTGTCTATCTATTACTATGTAATATACAAAAAAAAATGCACAAAGGAGAAGGAATTGAGCATAAAATATATGACGACCAAATGACTTGCTATCAATCATACTACCTGTCTATCTTTGAAATCTGATGTCATTTCAATGGCATCAATAGTGGAAATTATTTGAATTTTTTTTTTTTTGCAAAACAAAAACATTCTAGAGTTGTGGAGGAAGAAATCAACAAAAGGAAGTTCTCTCTATTTTCTATTTCTGCATTAAAGAAACCAATGATAATTTAGTACATTTCCTTCACTTCTCCAAGAACTGTGGAAATCTTGATTTAAAAATTTATTAAATAAAATATTTTGGAAAAGAATAAGAAACTGAAAGAAAGTCTAAGCAATATTTTATTTTATACCAGCTTCCCAAGAATAATAAGAACCTATTTGATGACATGATAAAGCAAGATTTACAAGACAGACAGGAGCTTCCCTACTTATGAACATTTAACTTATGAAGTTTCAGACTTACTGTACAATACAAGCAATTTGACTATACAGCTAAAATATAAATTTCATATGGATTCTGAAGTTCTCTTGCCAGTCGTGGGTGACATTGCAGTCAATTTTTGGCCAGTAATAAATAAATTTTTAATAAATAATGCAGATTTATTTCTATTGCATATAAAAATTTTTTGCTTTTGTGTAAATTCTGAAATTCCATCACTGCTAATGAGATGGCATTAAAGTTGATAACTTTGGAGTAACATAATTTGTCATTATTGTTTGCAATTTTTATAAACTTTTACAATTAGTGCTTCAAAAATACATCAAAAACAATATTAAATCTGGCAGTGGAGATAGATGCAAGAAGTGTTGCTCTATTACTGTGAAAAATAAACTTGGTAATCAATAGGATGATTAACACGCCAAATTAATATATAATAACAAAAATAAAGACACCGAGTTCAGCATTACATGCATACGTTTTTTATCACAAGCACTTTCAACGAACTTATAGTCGTCATCCTCAGGCAAATACAGATATTTACCAAAAATTTTTTTTTTTTTTAAATGGAAATAATCCAATGCAGAATAGAACGCATAAAATAAGTTGAATCTTTGTTAAAGCCATTAAGAACATATAGTAAATTTATTTCGTGTTCTTAACGGCTTTAACAAAGATTCAACTTATTTTATGCGTTCTATTCTGCATTGGATTATTTCCGTTTAAAAAATTTTTTGATAAATATCTGTATTCGCCTGAGGACGACGACAATAAGTTCGTTGAAAGTGCTTGCGATAAAAAATGTATGCATGTAACGCTGAACTCAGTATCTTTATTTTTGTTATTATAAAAATAAACTTGACATTATGAAACTAAATGTTTAGGTAAAAAAACCCATGTTTGAAACACTCGCTATTAAGCAGTAGCAAGTGAATAAATGAACATAATGTACTCTCTTAAGTACATTAAAAGATCAAACATTAATAATATGTGATTATTTCTGTGTACAAATGTATTTTCTAGCTTAGTTTTCAACTTACAAGCATTACAACTTAACACAAAACCTTGGAAACCTAGCCTGTTAATAAGTAGGGAGCACCTATATATCTATATATATATCTATATATATATATGGTCAGATGAATGTAACAGTTAAGGTGCTGGTCTGGGAGACCTGGAATCAAATCTGGGAAACTCTCCAGAAATTTTTCATAGGTGGTCTTGTCTTGATATGTCTGGCCCACAAGGCCACCCTCATTGTGGACCTGGCTGAACCCTAAGTAAGTAAGTAAGTAAATGAAAAAGTCCTAAGTGCCCACAAAGCAGAATTTATATAGTTGGATAAACTTAAAATGATATTATAAAATAGTAATGTATGTAATAATCCAATGTATTTAATAAAGCTTTCAACCTGTCCCACGTTATTCCCAATATATGCTGAAACATATCATGGTCATCTCTGGTCCACTAATCATGGCCAGCAGGTCGAGACCTGAGATATTTCGTTTCAGCATCAGAATGTTTTTTAAACTAGATGTCACTAGTCGTTATAATTTTTATATTAAAACTTACTTCTGAAATATAATTTTTTTTGTTTTTACATTTATTAATATATCTATTTTGTTTGTGCAAAATAAAAAAATAATTTTGGACGATACCATAGCCATGATTATTTTTTTCAAAAACGTGTAATTTTTGTTAGGCTTAACATTGACAAAAATTCAATATGGTGTGTGACATGAAACAGAAAAATTTCAACATGGGATAGGTTAAACTGAATTACAGCTAAAAGTGAAGATAGTATAAGTTTAAAGAATGAGACATTATAAGTGAAACTGCATTGATGAAATAAGGAAATGCAAAACTTGGGTGGTCTGCCAAGAAAGTGCCTCCCAGAATGGTTCTGTGGGAAAGTTGGCCCATATTTAGGGGTTAGACACATGAAGAAATCCCAGAAAATTCACAAAGCAAGTCCATTGATAAGGCACAAGCCCACAACCAACCATCAGTGTTCAGTGGTTGGTTGTGGGCTTCACCAATGGTCAAGTATCTACTTGACCATTGGTGAACCTTTTTGAGTGATTCCTTGTCTGACAGAATAAACTAACTAATAAAAGAATTAATGTTAAATGAAAACTAAAATGACTGAATTATTCAATTTATACACAAAACTGGAAAAAATGACACAATCAATAAAAACAGCAACTTATTTAATTTTCTCATTCTAGAAACAACCGCCAGAGAAAATGTAAAAGGTCAGCATCAAATACCAAAATTTAAGTATCATCAGTTTTTGTAATATTCATTATAAAAAAATATATTACTGTTCTCTATCAATTTGAAAAACTTATTACTCCTGAAATTATTACTATTATCTCAAATTTCAATTAAAAATCTTTCTGAAAATCATTGCATAGAAAATAAAAATATACTGTAAATGATATAACATAATGTAAAAGAATATAAAAGAAAAATTTACAGTACAATTACTTACCAACAGCAATGCCTGCCAATATAGGAGATACCAATATAGATGCTATAACACCACTTGTCACAATTAAATTTCTTTTGTGTCTACTACTTGACTGACGTTCATATTTTGCATGCAGCTTAAAATTAAAAACAAAAAATACCAGTTTAAAATCACAGAAGATAAAATTTAAATTATTGATAGAATATAATGTAATATGTAATGCAATTTAAATTATTCATTAAATTGCAACAAATGACATTGTCATGAGAATGAGCCAAAAACAAAAAATTTATTATAAACTCAATAAATATACTGTAAAAAGAACGAAAAGTTCTCCTTTGACCCAATTTTACCCTACAGTAGTTTTGTATTTTAAATAATAATAATAATTCTCCTGTGGACACCACCTGGTCATAATGGCAGAACCCAGTAATTTTACTGATCCATAGGGGCAATGTAGGCTGGAGCACAAGCTCCTGGTAGGGACACTCATGCCAGTAAGGTCTATGGGGAGAAGTGAAGCTAAGAGTGACCACACACTCATGTTCTGTGGAGATATTTATCATGGTAGTAACCAGGTCTAAGTGTGAAACTGACTTGGACATCGCCCAGGTAAACAAGGTCTGTGTTTGTGGGTTAGGCAGAAACTCACATTCAAAAAATAGGTAACAGTCTCCCTTGGTTGCAGGTGACGAAAGCAGCACCGGCCCAAGCATGGCTACTGCAATGCCCTCAACAGATGTGAGAAACCAACCTAGCCTTGGTGTTCCTGTGGCAATTCACCCCCAGACCACAAAGGCTGGGAAACCACACCAACAGATGAAATAAACAATAGAAATGAACGAGTTTATCATCTGTACTTACTACACCATCACAAAATTTGAAACAAACATGACAGTGTACAGACAACAATTACATCATAGATTCACACAACAATATCCTCACCTCACTGTCACCGAACAAAGGGCTGTTGATCAAAAAAGAACAATTACAGTAGTGTTGTTTATCCGAAAGCCAGTCAACTGAAATGTTGGTTAACTGAAAGCATTCCAGTCAGCAAATTTAAATTTCCACTATTGCTGTAACACTGCAACCTTTGGCTATGTCTTGGGCTACTCCAATATTTTTTTTGTTGGGGTGTGTGCATCTTTCATGTATAATAAACGGGTTGTGTTGTTGTAAACGAGACATCTATCTCTGACTCAACTACTCCCACATGTCGTTGATTGTTACCACTCAGAAATCCAAATGGCAAGGGAGATGATGACGATATATATCACATATTATCGTTAATTTAATTTTTTTGTAAATTTCTCCTCTGCTCGGCCCCCACAATAATTTCTGGTACAAAAAATTTACATCACTGCATCAGGAACTAGCCAAACATCTAACACACATCATCATCAATCCAAAAGACATGCCAAAATTTCTTACTCAGGGCATCACCTGCAGGAAACCTAAAAGCAACAATACCACAATACAGACCAATTACATGTCTTCCAACATTTTACAAATTATTGACATCCTGTATCACAAACAAAATTTACAAACATGTTGAAGAACACAACATTCTCACGGAACAACAAAAAGGTTGCCTTAGAAATTACAGGGAATGCAAAGAACAGTTACTCATAGATTCAGTCATTCTACAGCGAGCACACAAACACACACATGGCATATATAGACTACAGAAAAGCATTCAACAACATTCCCCACATTTACAAAATACATCCATCACTCTTTGCATTCTTCCAAAACACTATGCAGCACTGGAGAACAACACTACATCTCAGGGTTAGTAACACTCCACACAAATATTTATTAGGCGAGGAATTTTTCAAGGAGATTCCTTGAGTCCTCCTGGTTCTGTCTAGCCCTGAACCAATTATACAACATGTTATACAACACGCAATACACTACAATATCAGACATGAAAAAACAACACAGTTTATGCTGTCACATCTCATGTACATGCACAACTTAAAACTTTATGCATCCACACAAAAACAACTTCATCAACTCCTACAAATCACACATTCATACACCAACAGACCTGGGAGTGCCATTTCCCCTTTGAAAAAGTGAGAAAAGTGAGTTGAAATACAGAATAAGTGAGTAAAAAGTGAGTGCAATACAAGTAGCCCTCAGTTCATGCTGGCTCAATTTATGCCGATTTACAATAACTCCGCTGTACAATTCACCATTTCGCGGTGTAATTCCCCAATTTTCCCTACGCTAGACTGATTTTCATTTCAGTGTCGATGTATTTACCGAGCCGCAACATTGTATATTAGTTACAAAAGATTTTCTGTTTAATATTATTGGGTATGCATACATTTGCATTAAATTAATATTAAAATACTAAACATTTAGGTACCCACAGGGTGAGCCAAAAAGTAAGTTGCACTCATACCAAAAATAAAAGTATAAAACATATGGGTCAAAAATTTTTATTTGTATGAATAAACAATCCAAGTGCTACTTTAACATAAGCACCAAGTTTATTTAAACATTTATTGCAACATGGCACAAGATTTTCTATTCCTTTTTGGAAGTATTCCCACCCAATGTGCAATAACCATTCTCATGTCACACGTGTGATATCTTCATCAGAGTTGTATTGACAATTTGAAAGGTTCTTTTTTCTTGGGGATGAACACAAAGAAATCACAAGATGCAAGATCTGGACTGTAGGGAGGATGTTCTCATACAGTCCATTTGAATTTTTCCAGTAGAGCCTTTGTGATACCTGCTGAATGAGGTGTGGCATTGTCATGAAAAAGCATTCTCACCATACACTTCCCTCAACTGGCATTGAATTTCAGTGGAGTTACACCTTTTTGCTCGTAAGTAATGAGTTTCTGCATGAACTTCCAATTTGGGCACTACATCCAAATGACAACACCTATTATGACTGAAAACCTATGCAGCTAAGTTGACAAATCTGTTACTCCTTGTAGCTGGAAATATTACCAATGTTGCCACCAGATTTCATTTAAATATCATTTATCAACAAAAAGTTCTTGCCAATTGCAACTTACTTTTTGACTCTCCCACATATCAAAAGACTTGTTTTTTACATTGAAAATTTTTTATCAGTGCACATGCACATTCTTGCATACCAGAAAAAATTATTTTTAGCTTTGTTTTGAAGGCATTAAGAAAACCTTTTTTACATGCCCAATTATGAGTTTAATCAGAGTGGGAATTCCAGATGATCAGAAATAAGCATGACAATTTCCAGTCAAATCCACTATAAAGATTTGAGGATCTAATCAAAATTTGAACATAATTCTGTATATTTTAACTGATAGGTCTTTTGCTATTGGGAATAACTATCAAAAACATTGTGATTAAGAAGTCTATATTTAAAATATTGATAATTATCTATATAATGCAAGCAGTTATGATGATTGGATTTATAAAAATGTAAAAAATTATTGTATATTGTGATCATAAGTAAATATACAATAATTTTTAAAATAAAATATACATAATTTAGATAGTCAAAACTGAAATTTACAATATCACAGTTAACATTTTTAATTTGAATTAAAATGACAGACAGTATATTTCACAATTTTAAAATATGTATAGAAGGACACTAAAACGTCTTCTAACATCCATCCTGTCTAATCATCAGGAACAGACAATCAATCAAATCAATCAATCGTTTTTTTATTAGGTGCTCGAGGCATATACTCAGCACTGCAAGAGAACAGCTAAGAAAAATTATATACATTTTAAAATAATACATATTAATAGTGTATACAAAACTGTCAGTTAAATACAAAATATTACAGAGAGAACAATTAATACATTAATAACATTTTTTTACTATTGAACACAAGACTGTGTTATTATTAAAACACTTGGCGTTTATCCACTTTATTCATTAACTTGTGCTGTACGAGTGTCATTGCATTTTTAACGTTGACTGATGAGGGGCTATACGCCCGAAACAAAATGCCCGTATCAACTGAATAAAGTGGATAAATGCCAAGTGTTTTAATAATAACATAGTCTTGTGTTCAATAGTAAATAAATACGAAAACACGGTTTCAAAAAACTAATCAACATTAATAACATTAATACAAAATAACAATGAAATATTATTACAGAATAGCAATGTATACAGAGTTATCAGATGTAGAAAGTATTGCAAACAGAGTATTTTTAGAACTTAATAACTAACATGAGAAAAATAAACTTAATAACTAAAATTAAAGCTAAGAGAGAATTCAATGGAATAATACAGAGAAAAAATGTGCAGAGCAAAACACCAGGAGTAACTCCATATTCTCTTAAAATAAGTCCGTTATGGAGGAACCACAAAACTCCTTGGAGTAAACTTGTCTATAAGGGCCTCCAAAACACCTTGAGTACTTGTAGAACAAGTTTTGCAGAACAAGTCTTGCAGGACAGAACCACCAGGAATAACTCCATATTCTCTTGAAATTAATTTGTCAGGGAGAAACCACAAATACTCATCAGAGTAAACTTGTCCATAAGGATCTCCAAGACACCTAGAGTACAGCAGTACTTATTGAACACAAAGATTCACTTGCAGAACAAGAAACAGACGAGGTCAAAAGTATTTCATGTGTAGATTGATTCATGGTAACTTATAGAGTAATTGATTAAAGCAAGAACAAAAATAACCAGGAGTCAGTTTATCAAAATTTTCATTGATTCCATCAGATTTATCAGGCTGGATGGTGTGAAGTTCAGAAGAAACAGTAGTATGCTATTCTCTGGTAGCAGTTGGTGCAATAATAGCATGCTGTTTGACTAATCTGTAAAATGATTTGAAGATCTCTTTATTCATTAACAGCTCTTCATGCTTACATGGCCAGTTTAAGTTGTAATTTTTAACAGTAAGTTCTAAGGCCAGGCGTTCAGCTTCCAATGAGATACATTCGAAAAGATAATGATCGACACCATCAGGCTGATTACAGATGGAACAGAAAGAAGTTTGTTTACCAATGAACCTTTGTAAGTAGATAGAAAACGTACCATGACCGGTAAGAATCAGGAACAGACAGTCTTCATTTCGCAAAGACGACCTTTTATTGAAAGCTACAACTCTCCACAATTATGTAAAACAGTTAAAAGTTCACTGACAACAAGCCAGTG